TATATGAGGAATTGCGGAGTCAGAAGAGGGAGAGCAGTAAGTATTATTTGGGAGTCTTAAACCTCAAATAGCCCAGTCTGTTTTCCAGCTGGGTTGGCATTAAGCGTCTGGTGAAAGGTGAAGCTAACTTTGTTGATCTACTCTCACCCATTGCTTTCCTAAGACAAGTTAGTGCTCCTGTTAGACAAAGAACTGCTCTTTGTTTAAAAATAACTTGAAGTTGCCAGTCCTTTCACAGAATGCAATTATTTCCTCTGGGGAAGAAACAATAGCATGCCTTATCTACTCAAGGAAAGCATTTAGGATGCCCTTTCCTGCTTTCTTTGTCCTGCAATAACCTGCTTTTTTTAGGAAGAAGGTTTCTGCTATCAACATTTTTCTCTGGTGGAGCCCGGTGAAAATAACCTCAGTCTGCATGGTCCTGTGATGCACTCCCATACATCAACTATATTTGTGTCTTTCTCCCACAGAGTTTAATAAAGGAAATTATTTTGATTATTAGCGTTTAGATTTAACAAACAACACTGTTTTGGGTTACACATCCATCTGGTCCAGTTTCTAAATTGTCAGCTTGATGATGTATGTGAATGTATACAGCAGAAACAGATGACTGGAGGGACTTGTGAAATCCTGCAGAGAATTAAGTCGGCAGATTGTTTCCCTCCGTGAGCAATTTTATAGAACTTGTAAACCCGCCCAGGGCTTACCTCTTACAGGATGCAGGAGTTCTCGTGGATTGAGGCTCAGGCTTGTTCCATATTCCTTTTGAATACACGTCTTCTTTATTGTCAGGTTGCCTAGGTTCAAAGCAAAGAGTAGAGGTTTGCTCTTTGTTTGTTCAATGCTGCTAAGCAGGATTTAGCAAGACTATGCATTTATTTGATTAGGCTCCAGCAGAAACGATCAGGTGCTTCTGAGTTGGATTACATGAGAGTAGGATTGTGATATAGTCTAAGTGTAACATGTAGGAGTGAGGTGATGTCTTCTTCTTTGACAACTTGTATATTGTTCACCAGTGAGATGGGACTGAGCTTTATGGTGTATTTCTGCAAGTAAGTGTTATGTGATCAAGCTCTTGGCCAGACACTCATGGACTCTTCCTGTCTTCTGACTCGATGGTTTAAAGTTGGCCAAAAAGGTTACATGTGCAGAATTCTCACATTTTACTCAGATAATGTTTTCTCATCTCTTTAAGGTGACTGAGGGATTGCACAAAATTCTACCCAATTTACAAACCCAAGCTTCACCTAAAGCAGCTGAGTCACTTGCTCGTTTATACCCATACTCCTTTTAACAATTTAGAAGAGTGATTTTTGTGAAGGGAAGTCTTTTGTCTGATCATATGAGACAACACTAAGGTAGGTGGGAGTATTGATTTGCTTGAGGGTAGGATGGCTCTACAGAGGGACCTGGCCAGGCTGCATCGATGGTCCGAGGCCAATGGGGTGAGGTTCAACAAGGCCAAGTGCCGGGTCCTGCATTGGGTCACACCAACCCCATGGACGCTACAGCCCTGGGGCAGAGTGGCTGGAAAGCTGCCTGGGGGAGAAGGCCCTGGGGGTGTTGGTGGACGGCCGCTGAACATGAGCCAGCAGTGTGCCCAGGGGGCCAAGAAGGCCAACAGCATCCCGGCCTGTGTCAGGAATAGTGTGACCAGCAGGACTGGGGAAGGATTGTTCCACTGTACTCGGCACTGGTGAGGCCCCACCTCGAGTGCTGTGTTCACTTTTGGGCCCCTCACGACAAGACAGACATTGAGGAGGTGGAGCGTGTCCAGAGAAGGGCAACGGAGCTGTGAGGGGTCTGGAGCACACGTCTGGTGAGGAGCGGCTGAGGGCCCTGGGGGTGTTCAGCCTGGAGAAGAGGAGGCTGAGGGGAGACCGTCAAGCTCTCAACAGCTCCCTGAAGGGAGGGGGGAGCGAGGGGGGGTCAGTCTCTGCTCTGAAGGAACAAGTGATAGGACAAGAGGAAATGGCCTCAAGTTATGCCAGGGGAGGTTTAGGATGGATATTAGGAAAAAGTTCTTCACCGAAAGGGTTGTCAAGCACTGGCACAGGCTGCCCAGGGACGTGGTGGAGTCGCCATCCCTGGAGGGGTTTAAAAGACGGGCAGACGTGGTGCTGAGGGATGTGGGTTAGTGGTGGTTTGGGCAGTGTCAGGTTGATGGTTGGACTTCATGATCTTCAAGGTCCCTTCCACCCGAGACAATTCTATGATTCTGTGAAAATATCAAACTGAAGACAAACTCCTGACTTCCCTTCCGTTAATTGGCAGTCTCATTAAATGTATTACACAAGAGAAGCCTTCGATTGTAGATTAAAAGTGGTTTCATTTTTTTTGCTTTAAAAATTTTGGTCAAATATAATTTCATCTTTTTCCGGCCAGGCTTGAAGGAACGGTTTTTAATGGTCTTCTTTTCTTTGACTTAGACTCACCACTCTTTTTCAGTTATTCCTTTTTGTTAATTATTTCATAAACACACTAACACAACTAGTAGATGGTCGTCATTTCTTGTTGGTTCTCATGTCTGTTGTCCAGAATAATAAAGCTAATGAAGTAGCGCCTGCTTGTGCTTAATTTAATGTTGTGGTGATACAACAGAGATGTCTTTTTATTTTCTCGTCAGGTAAATTGCACTAAAATATAATGATTACATTAATTACTTCCAACGGATATAATTTCTTTGAGTTTACATTTCTTAACCTTTTAAAACTTTAAAAAGCTCCTCCTGGGGATAATTTTTTATGTAAAAGGTCTTTTTTTGTCTGTTCTGTGATTTGGACATAATGTGTTGGGTAATTATTACTTCTGTCCTGAGAAATCTGTCCATATTAGAAAGAAAACAATTTTCCTTTCTATTTCAGTACATAATTATACATTCTTTATATATACACACTTCTATAATGGGTTTAAACCAATATTTTATTGATTTGCTGTTGTTACGTACAGAGTAATAGTTTTCAGTTCTTTGGAGTTTCCTAATTTTAACATACTTAATGTCTTCTTTTACAAATGACACAAATAAATAATGAATATTAATGACGCTGTGAGCTGTGTATCCCTTCAAGATGTTCGGGTGCATTAGTAATAGCTTTTAGAATGATTTTTAGCTGAGTGATTTCTTTTATTACAGTTCATAGTGCAGTGAATACAGTCTTTGAAGTTGATTTACAATCACAATTTTACTTGTACATCCTTTAAAATTTTAAGCATGTTAACTGTAGCATGTTTGCAAATAGTAAAGTAATTATCAACTGTGCTCTATTTTTTTTTATCACGTAGTAGCATGTTTAGATAGTTACTGTGTGCTGAACACAGAAATATGGTACTTAGTAAAAATCTGCTTAAAGTTTGGGAGGTGCTTCTAGATCCTATAGGATGCACAGAATTAATATATTAGTTCTGTATGCAGAGCAATCTGCTTCTGATAGCTTCAGGCCTTGACATTAAAAGCAAAAAACCCCACCAAAACCCAAAAAACCCCAAAGAAAAAATCCACACCCTAAAAAAATCAAAACAGGAAGAAATCCTCTCAAACCTTAATAAAGTTATGACATTATTTTCAAAACAGTATTTAAGTTGCCTCTCTGTCTAACTTGGGTTTAACCCTGTGTGACTTATAAATAAATCTTTTATTTTTCCTTTACATATCCTTTTGATGTATGTCATCCATCAATGTTAGCAAGAACAGTAAATGCATTGATCTGTTCCTACACTTGGCAAGTTAAATAACACTTTATGTAAGAAGTATTGATTTATAAAATCCAGTACATGTAATTAACATTAGAACTGTCAAAAGCTGAAAATAGTATTAACTTGCTGCTTATTTATAACCCAAAGAAAATTAAATAAAATATCCAGATTAATAAACTAACTCCTTTTTTTGCCTTCAGATATGTCAAGCTGAGTTATGTTTTCAAGAACAGTGATATGTTTCTTCCAACTTCTGACAAGAAGAAATTATGGGTTCCGTCAGTATTGTTGAAAATAATTCTATAGTCTCTCGAAATGTGTATTATCCCTGAGGTGGGGAAAGAATTCCACTTGGATAGTTCTGAAAGGATTTAGTGTAAAAGATGCAGAAATAAGTGACAGTATTAGAGAAAATGAAGATAGCCAATTTATGTCAGGTTTTCAAAGAGCCTTTGATCTGGCCCTTAGTTAGTGTCTGCTCTTCGGCGTGAAAATGTGCAATGGTGTCTCTCCCTGCTTGTGCGGACGGTGCGGGATCCAGTTTTCTACCCAAATTACGCAATGAGATACTTCGGGAGCTGTGCGAGGATCACTTTGTGCTTCTGTTACTGACTCAGGCACCAACCAGGTGCCTGTTCCAGAGTTTGCTTAAGATGATGGGAATATTTCAGTTGAGTTCTCTGAACTGTGCTTCGGTTGCGGATTTGTTCTAATTCAGCATGAGATAAGGATGTGAACAACCCTGTCTGTGTTCAGTGTAGCGTTTGATCCTGTGCTTACCACCCTTGAATTCAGTAGCACCACTGAGATCCTTTGAGTTGACTTGGTTGAGGCAGGCCTTATCCAATTTATCAACCTATTCACATTTTTCAAGTTTAAAGGGCAAAAAAAGAAAATTACAAGCTGCATGTAAACAAAATAACAATAGCAGTAAAGAGTGGGCGTTGTTTTTTAACAAAGGTTTCTGCATGAATCATTTCCCCTTCAGTCCCCTTCATCAAAAGAGGTCTGTGTTTATATCTTTCATGGGTATTCATAGCTGCTTTGCTATTTAGAAATAATTCTCTTCTTGAAATAATAAATAGGTGGCCTTACACGGCTTTCAATCTGGCGGTGCCTTTGCTGTGCCATTGTTTCCGCCTGCTGCACTCCTGGTTCTGTTCTGGTACTCCCAGACACTTGTCAGATCTTTACCTTTTAGATTTAATTTATCTTGTACAAAACAACCGAGAACGCCTCTTATACCAAGGGCGAACTTGTGGATAGCACATTTATGTTTTTATCTTTTCTGTTCTGTTATATGGTAGAGTTTCATCCTGCCTTCGTCCTGGTGTCAGTTGGAATATTTAATGGATCTATGTCTGGCTGGAGAGCTATCGGTGCGAGCAGACTGGCCCGACAGTGGCTGGAGATTGGCGATTATGTAGCAGCAACAGTAGCTTCCTTTGCAGTTAAGAGAAGGAAGGAAATCCTGCTATATTGGGATTCTCTTTCGGTAAGGCAGTTTTGACTTCCACCTACCGTGTGCCGAGGTTTGAACAGTAACAACTTATTTCCTTGAGAGCTCCGCAGGTCTCTGTAAACACCACTAGATATGAGGAGAATATCAAAAGCGTGGCGGTTATGCTTTGGTACCGAGTTGAGTCCAGAGACGGTGTAGGTTTCTTTGGAGGTTTTGTTTTGGTGTTGGTAGTTAAGGGGTTCTCTTGTCTTTGCCCGCTTTGTACGCTACCGTGCATTTTCTCTCAGTACGTTTGCAACTTTCTTTAAGGTATCGTCATGAATATTGCAAAAAACAATTCTGCAGCCTTTTTCAAGGATGAGCTACACTGAACGTAACATTTGAACATCAGCTGTAGTGTTGTGATTTTTAATCTTACAGCGGATACTCCATGAATTCACGAAACTATGGATTGTGATTGCCTTCTGATACACAACAAACCAAGATTTTTTCTTTGCCCTGACCCAACTGAAGTATTACAGGAGGTCAGAAAGTGAAAACTAAAACATGACATGAAGAAATTAAGCGAGAAAAGGAAACCGTAGTGAGACTTTAGGTTAATATATCAGGAGCTGCTTGAGGCTCATTTAAAATGATATCGGCTCTTTTTTTTCTTTTCTTTCTCCTTGGCTGGTCTGCTAAAGGAATCAATTTTAAGAAAAGAATGATACAATTGCACTTGCAAGAATCTTTCTCAGTGTATTTGGGGATAACCAAGAGAGTTTTATGTTGAATGTTAAACGGAGTGATGTTACCGACCACTCTCTTTTTTCTGTCAGAATCCAGGTCCTGTAAAAATTCTCTTTTGTGCTTCTGTGGGCCCTCCTCCTTTCAGTTCTGTTTTGAGTGTTTCTAATAAAACTCAGGAAATCTTTTATCAAAAGGGAATTCTTCTTCAAGATGAGATCCTGTAGTGATTGAAAGAATGGTCTTGAAATAGATGACGGAGTGTTAGGGAGTAGATTTTATGAATGCAAAGAATAAGTTAAGTTTAAGAACTTTTAAGCAATCAGCCATAGTATTGAGAGATATACCAGGAAATATCTGTGCCTTAAAACAAGGTAGAAATGCTGGAAATATTAAAAAAGGTTTTCCTGTAGCAAGTAATTTTGTGGTGTGTAGCTTAGAATTGGAGAAGTTTCTAAGGGAATGAATTCTGATGTTTGTTCTTTTAAACAATACTATGTATTAGTCTAGAAATGGGAAAAACATTTTATCTCTTTGCATCAAGAAATGAGGAGCTTAAAAGCAGAATGGAATCTGCAGTGCCATTTAGATAGTTCTGACATAGACAACTGATGCTTCAATTAAAAAAAAAAAGAATTTTTAATTAAATCTACTTAACTATCAGTGTGAAACGCTCATTCTCGCCACTTGAGACTCCTATTCTATTGAATTGTTGAATGCTAATCATAACTATACATTACAGAACGTTTAGTTTTCCTCTTGGGATAGTGTGCAACAGGTATGCAATCTTAAGTTCAGTATTTCTTCAATCCAAATCAAATATATGATTGGCAGTTACCCAATAACTAACTTGCCAATTAGGTATTTGACCTATTCAAGGCAAAAAAGTTACCCATTGAAATCTTGTCTCCCAGTGACTGTGCATTTAAAAGAAATAAATGTCACTTATTCTAGAAATATGTAGGTTTCCTCACAGAAATTGCTGAGTCCTAAAACAATTTAATTCCATCCCCAATTAAACCTTTAAAAGCACTATCCATCAACCTCAGCTGATACTGTGTTTGCATTTAGAGATTGCAGTAGAGGTATCCAACGAGCCGGTTATCTTTATCTATAGGAGGACAAAAACGGGTAGTGTGTGCTCATTTACTTGTGAAATTGAGGAAGAAAGACTGATTTAAATACAGTCACTTCTGTATTATTCCAATATAAAATCAGATATCGTCTTTGATAAAAGTTCAGGAAATCCACTTTAAGGGACAGCTTTATACCATTGTGTGAAAATTCTTAACTACGATAGTATATTTGAAAAATAACCTGATATTGTAATGAAATATTCACTATGATGCATCAATCCTTTCAAATCCAGGCATAGAATGAGGTAGTAAAATGCAATTTAAATTTAATTGTTGTACTTGGTGATTTATGTCACACTTCCAAGCAAGAAAATTTGAATCTCAAATATCCAATATTTTGGGTAGAATAGCCTTCCTGCAAATCAATACAGTTAAAGTGACTGAATGCTCCAATGTATGTTTGACATTGTTGACAGTTTATGAATAGATCATGTACTAACTTTCACAGCATCTCACCAATGCGTTTTAGAAGGTTTGAATTCAAAAGAAGATTGATTCAAATATATCTGAGTTCAATCTGACTTCCTGGTGCATTTCCAGGATTTACTATGTAATAATTCCTGTGCTATTCTTATGCTATAGAAGCTACTGAAGTTCATTTCCACAAGAGAATACAACTTGCATCCAGACCTAGCACATGGATGCACGTGGCTGAGGAACTAAGATAGTAAGATTAAAAGGTCCTTTTGAAAAGGAAAAAGAGAAAAATCTTTCCCATATCCAAGGTGGGAGTAAGAAGCGAGTGGTGCGGGTTCCCCAGCAGGCTGCAGGTATCGGCTCTCAGTCAGCGCAGAGCAGCTCTACTCAACTGTAGGCGCTCTGAAGCGTCAGGTTGTGACTGCCACAGCCGAACTTTAATCTGTTCTTGATGGGATTCTGCGGTCCATAGTTGTACCTGCTTTCTCTGGGTTACTGAAAAGATTCCTCCTGTCTTTAGTTTGGGTTTCCTGCCTCTAGTTTCCTTTTTAATTTAACTATACTTTTGTATTATGCATTCAGATATTTTAAGATACTCTTTTTATGGCAGTTATCATTAACCCACCTGAAGATGGCTCACATCCCTTTTCTTGCAAACAAGGAGAGCAAAAGCATTTCTCTATTGGTGCTCTTCTCCTGTGCCGATCTTTCAGCCCCTGCATGTAATTTATTTATCTAGTCTCATTTTCCCAGAAAAAATCCTCAGAGATATTCTGCCCTTTATTTTTCTGTGTCCGTTGATTGTAGCTTTAGACGTGCATATGAAGAAAGGGCGATGTGCATCATGCTTTGACTAGGGACTAATAAGCTAAAATCAATATAGGTGTGTCTTTTAAAAAACCAATTGTATTTTTGTTTGGGTTTATTGATAAATGTATCTCAGTCAAAAATGTGTTTTCAGTATCATGTCTGTAGGGTGAACTGAGCAATGGAAGGACAGCTGCTCAAATGATATCTGTTAGTGACTGAGCTGTGTTTGCTCTGACTTGCTGAATTATGAACAGGTTAATCTACTTGTAATATTCAATATTGGCTCACCTAAAAGTGGCTTAAAAGTAGAGAGATACAGAAGAAAGAGAAATAGCAATGGCAGTGGGGATCTCAGCCTGTTCTCTGCACTCCCTACGTTATTCTTCCTCCGAGTGTGTTCAGGACTGCAGGAACTGATTTCCTCAAAATGTAAGCACATGATTTTACCTGTAACTGTTGATATCTGACATTTCTGGAGGAAAAAATACTGAGATTTTAACAGGGTAGTTGCAGTGCTTTTCACTGATGAAGGTGGTGTGGTACTTCTCTGGAGTGTGGCAACTTTCCTTTTCTCCATAGGAAAGAGGTGTTCAAGATCAAATTACATCTTTAATTAAAATATATGAATTCCTGAGGGACAGGACTGCAGGACTGCTTTCAAGATCTTGTAGTAATTGAAAAGTCTATTTAATCTGACTTTGGTTTATGTATTTTACAAATGCAAGCTGTTAGAGGGCTCAGAATCATTAGCCAAACTTTGTGAATGGGTTTATTAGAGGGTATGTTTGAGGTATTTGAGGTGGTACCCTCCTCGGTTTCTAAAGTCATGTTCACTCACGCTATCCTTACGAGATTAGGTTCCCTTGGTTAACTAATGAGTAACAACTCTTGGAATTTTTGTTTTCATTCCATTCACAACAAAGCTGTACAGTCAGACTGTCTTCTCCTCTTACAGACTGTATTTGTAGGTTCGTGCCTGAACATGATTTTCAGGGAGAACAGAGTATGAGTGAGCTCTCAGCTTTTCTGTCATGCATCTCGCCTGCGAGGGCTGGGCAGAAGCCCAGAGCAGATAACAATTGTACACAGCACCATTTTTATATTTGTGTCAGCATTAATCCAAACACAAGTGTACAGGCATTGTTGAATTAGGTCCTGAAACTACATTTTGAGATAAAATCCATCTAAGCTTTGCATGGTAAGAAAGAAAATAGACAGGCTAACCTGGCAGTATAATGGAACTCTTGCAGTTTAATGATGCACAAAAGCACGGCCGACATGTTTTGGAGCAAATTTCCGGATAATTTGGGCATATTCAATCCTATATTTTCTTAAGTTTTACGTAAGAATAAATCTGCACCATCATTTTAAGGACACGAGTCAGGATGTTTGTGAGTTTGGTAAGCAGACTTAATGACACTTTGTAGAAGCTGTATATGTATGTGTCCTTTTACTCGTCCTTGCAACTCAGACATTTTTTTAATTATTACTATTTTTATTTTTAAATCAGCATCATGAAAAGCGAGAGATGCTTGAAGTGTTAACACATTTAGCATTTAGAAGAAATGCCTTTTTTTTTTTTCAGGCAGAAAGCTGTTTTAGCTAAAAATATTAATTCCAATATTTTATTATTCCTGTTTCTTTTCAGTAGCTTTTTGCTCCATCCTTCAAGAGAATAAAACCTGAGATGCTCTCATGGCTTCTAAACCCTTGGTTGGCCAAGGTTAGCCTTATAGTGAATCCTTCCTGTATTTAATTAATGAAGTGAAAGTATCTCATGCCTATTAAATGACCCCCTTGTATCCTCCATCCCTCACTTCCAGTTCTTTTTGAGATGGCTTTCATTTTTCCTGCCAATTTTCCTGTTCCCCTGAGATGCTCTATAACAACCAAACTTGTCCTTGTAGGACCAGTTTAAAATTCTGCGTTCCATTACAGCTTCCAGGTGTGAAGCTGAGGGTGCAGCACCCTTTGGATCGGAGGTGTGAGCAGCCTGTGCTGCAGAAATGCCAAAGTCATCAAAGCTTTTCTGCTACCTCTCTTCATGGAATCTTTGCTCAGTATTTTATTTTCATTTCTGCTTTCAGGGAATATTTAGTGAGCTCTGATTACATAATTGAATTTGATAAACTGATGGTATGTGATTGATGAGAAAGTCAGGAATAAAAGATTAGAAGATAAAATTACTTCAAGGGTTTAAGTAAATCTTCCAGAGAGCTGGGGTAATTTATAAAGCATGCTATATTCTTTATAAAAATATTCCCCTGGGTCTATTAAATTTTAGCTTCTACCAGAATTGGATTGAGTTTTGAGAATCATTTTCATGTAATACCAGCTTGATTGTGATACTTTAAATGGGAGATAGCTCTGAGTGGGTTGCAGCATCACTGGGTTTGGAATATTTGAGCAGGAAATGTAGGGCTGAATGACAGACTTGTGGGCAGCAGTCTTTGTCTTTCAAATAAATCATTTGTTCTCGGAAAGGCATAAGTTAGAAGGAGTAAGTGGATAATTCAGAGTGAAATAATGAAGGAGGTTATGCTGCTTGAGTCTTTAAATCACTGAAAAACAGGATCAACAAATTACTCGGGTAGAGGCTTATAGCGCAGATACCGGTTTCATTGTAATCTCCCTGAATGGCTCAACTTTCTTCAGGAAGGAGTAGTTTAACAAGCTCTGTATGAGCCTCTATACACTCGCAGGTAAGTACCGTTGTTTTCAGGGACTTGGCAGTAATCAGTTCAGTTTACCAATTGGGCTCTGGTACGACGCCTTCCCCTAGACACCAGCGCAACTCCCCGCCGCTGCCTTTTCATCTCCCAAGGAAGCCTGACACCTTTAATCTTGCAAGGGTAGAATGTCTGGCTCATAACTCCTTTGGGAGACTCCCGAAAATATATGTGAGGCCTCTGAAAGCATTTAACATTTCCTCACTTGTTTAGAAATATCTTTGTAAAAAAATGCTTTTTGCTCTGGGTAAAATAACTGTATTTCCCACTAACACCGTCTAACTCTGACTTAAATTTTTCTGTGTAAAGTTTTAGAATATTTGTTGATTTTACTAGTTAGGAGAAAATGGGAATTGAGAAGACTTCACAATATTTGCAGTCATTAAAACAAAACAAAAAAAAAGAAGCTTTGCGTAATATAATCTCAGTCATGAAACAGAGGGGACAGTTGCAAAAAACATCTTTGGCTTACCCAGGACTGTCTGGTAGTTTGGAACTGTTCCTCTTTTCTCATACCTTAAATTGTCAGAGCTTCCCGTATATCCAATTTCAAGAAAATATTACTGATCTGCACTAGCCATTAATCAATTTGTTTGAAAAACAAATTGTTTAATATGCTGCAAATCAGAAAAGGGCCTTACCTCAAAGTATGTTTTTTAATTCAGTTTGTTAGGTCAGATTTTGCGTAACAAGTATTGCTTTAAGGTGATGTGCTTTTTTTCCTGCAGAAATAGAGCTTTCTGAAGTTAAACGCTAAAAGCTGGGGAGGCAATTTGTCAGTACCAATCATCAAATGTGTACGCAGCTGATGTTCAACTTTAAAGCCAGTTGTAGCAAATAGTTCGGTGACAGTCAACCTGTGACCACAGTCAGCTCAAGCGCAGCTGCTGCCCCGGGCCCGTCGGATGCGGCGGTAATGAGTGTGTGCTGCCGTGCGGTCTGCTCAGTGCCAGAGGTTCCCTGATAAGGGGTGAAGCGAAAGAGAACAAATCTGGTGAGGAGCGGCTGAGGGCCCTGGGGGTGTTCAGCCTGGAGAAGAGGAGGCTGAGGGGAGACCTTCTCGCTCTCTACAGCTCCCTGACAGGAGGGGTGAGCAAGGGGGGGTCGGGCTCTGCCCCCAAGGAACAGGCAATGGGACAAGAGGGAACGGCCTCAAGTTGCGCCGGGGGAGGTTTAGAGTGGATATTAGGAAGTTCTTCACCGAAAGGGTTATGAGACTTTGGCACAGGCTGCCCAGGGACATGGTGGAGTCACCATCCCTGGAGGTGTTTAACAGATGGGCAGACGTGGTGCTGAGGGACACGGTTTAGCGGTGGGTTTGGCAGGGTCAGGTTGATGGGTGGACTCGATGAGTGTCAGGTTGATGGTTGGACTCGATGATCTTCAAGGTCCCTTCCAACCTGGACGGTTCTATGATTCTGTGAAGGGCTTAGGGAGGTTGACGTCTCCAGGCTGAGCTGCGTACCCGCTGCTGTCCCAGTCTGTGTAGGAACACCAGGGCACCTTGAAAGCCACCCACAGCCCGTCTTCCCTAAGGTGTGTGTGTGCTCTCTTGTGGCTATCAATTATTAAAGATGATAGTACATGACTTGTGGATTCAAACATTTGAGCCAGCCTTGAATAGAACATGAGGTCACTTCCCCATAAACCGTAAAAGATAGCTTAAACTCTGTAAATGGCAAGTATAAAAATAGCTGAGCTTAATTTAACTGAATGGTTAGTTGCACGTGGACAAAATTTGTGTATCTTTATTGATTTGTTTATTTTATATGTTAGGGACACAGACTGCACTCCTAAAAGGCAGAGTGCAGTAACATCTGCCTATTAAATATTATTCCATATTTTGTTTTAAATCTCTCACTGTAACTTGTGTATTTTATATATATATACAAACATGTTACTTTTGCTTATGAAAGGTATTTGTAAACTTCTTAGATTAAGTCTGTAGTTCCTACGTAGTTACAAGTAGAAATTTGACGTGTAAAGCATGAAAACCTTCATCTTCCCGAGACACCAAGGGGCGGCTCTCCAGCTGGTGTAGACTTGTAATAAATCTGTGTTTGAGTGGAACTTTGGTGATTTACCAGTCCAGAATTTTGCTGCTTGGAGTATTTTGAGCATTTGCGATCTACTGAAGAATGAGAAGTTGGGACTATGTGTGACCCTTGAACATTATTGAAGTACACTAATTCAAAATCTGTTAGTGGTTTCAGGTAATATAATTTAACACATTTTGGTTGGCAATAACGTTGAAAAATACATTAATCTTACGATTTTGTGAGCTGTTTTTTTCTAAACTCTTTTTTTCTGTCAAAATTCTTCATTTACCCTGAGACTTCTCCTGCTGTGATAATCATTTCTATCCAAGATTACTCTTCTGGTTTCTATTCAAGAAATAAAAAAAGCTTTGAGTGGATTTAATCCTCACAGAGGAGAGGGGGGAAAAAAAAGCCACCAGGGCTGTTCACTGCCTGCCACAGTAGACAATGCTGAAATTCTCATACGTATAAACAGTAAATATGGACAAAAGCTTGTCTGAGTGGGCACTTCTCTTCTAAAGAAGTACCAAGGACGATGGTTATCAAGATGTTGTGAATTCTGCCTCTAAAGATAAAGCTTAGTTAAGAATATGATGGTGAAAGCCTTAACTACTGAATCATGTTGTCTCTTTGTTTTACAATTGCTATTTTGAAAGGAAATGAGCTAAATATCGGTGGCTTATACTGTACTTGTGTAAATAGCTTACAAAGCCATTTTCTCTCTGTTTTTCAGATGATGTTGCACCATACTTCAAGACTGAACCAGGCTTGCCCCAGATACACTTGGAAGGAAATCGACTGGTACTTACGTGCCTTGCCGAAGGCAGCTGGCCCTTGGAATTCAAGTGGTTACACAATGACAGTGAAATCACCGCCTACTCCAGTGAATATAAGTAAATAAAAGCTATATAATAGCCTTCTCTAAGTGTAATTGCAAAAAACCACCAAAACAAACACCACCCACCCCCAAAATCCCCAATACCTTGAAGCAGCTTTGTGGCTACTGATACATTGACAATGTTTTTTGTCACGAAAGACTGTTTTTTTGTAAATTAGTAAGATCTCTATGAGAGAGTCTCCTTTACTAAAAAAGATGTTTCACACTTCAACACAAGGGTCCTAACACAGAATTTTTAAGTACCAAAAATACTTTTTGCTGGAGATATAACCTTACATGTATTAGTAATAATATTCCTTAGCTAAATTTTACATATGATGTCCTGCTTATCCTTGAACAAAGCTAAGCTCAATGGGGCTATTCTTTTCAATAAGATCTAGAAGAATGTGGTCTATCTTACGTTGCATATGGAACTTCTGCTTTCATTTCTGAGAATGCAAGAATTAGTCTTATAGTTTAACAAACTGTTCTTTTATGATTATGCCCTTTGCTCCCAGGACCTCACTGTCTCCCTCCCGATTCCGCGAGACCTCCCATCAGAAGAAAACCCCGCTGTGGCTAAGCAGAGCTGCGTTTCTGCCCCGGTGGCTGGCCAAATAGCAAAGTGTAAAGCAGCCAAGTTTTGTTTGCTCTTCTTTAATGGGATCTCCCTTGTGCAATTGGCATTTCCTGTAACCTTATAGAAATTCAGTATTTATACAACTTATTTGTTGCTTTCAAGTTTTGTTGAAATTACCTGGTGAATTCAGAGGTTATAAGGGGTGGGTATGTGGCAGACAGAGCCCTTGTAGAACACGTGTATCTTTAGCAAACCGAGCTAAATACTGCACTTTTGTAATTACATTGCTTAAGGCAGGGAAAAGTTGTGCTCCATCACTATAGACAGAAATTACAGTATATATTAGTATAAAAATGTGGATAATGATACCAAGTTCTATATTGTTACACAAGGTAGTCCTTAATTACTTTTCTCAAAGATTTTCAAAATTGTAACCTAACATTAGTTCTATTTTCAGCATTATTTATATTGACAGAGCAATAGGGAAAAAAGTCCCATAAAAACATTTTAAACCCTTTTTTGGTCATTTAGCACATAAAATATTTTGCAACAAAACATATAGTTCTGTGTGAACTTTCCTAGAAATTAAAGACTTTTGATTTAGATGAGACCACTTAGTCCTGAGTCATTGCATCTATTCATGGTTGCTGTTTTTAAGCCTTGACATTCACTGATACCTCAAAGTGAGCCATACGCACGTGTGGAAGAGATTTGTGAATACTTTCTAGAAAATATAGAAATCTCTAATAGCACAATTAGTCACAGAGGGTTTGAGCGTTGCTTTGTGTAAATGCCACTTGTTTTGATCAACAATAGCAAGGTTTGTTGTAGTTTCCTGGTAGAAGGAGCTGACAACTGCTCTTAACTGCGTAAGATGCTGAGAAAGTAAGACAAAGAAACGGTGTGGGAGGAGGAAAGGTTAGAACTCAAGTTTTGCAGATGTGATAGTCACCCAGAGGCTTACATTCCATGATAGGAGGAGAAACCTGAATAAGAACGTGTGACATTTTGAAACTAAGATTAGAATGCCGTGGTATTTCTTAAATAAGTGCACAGCCTAAGCAAAATCTCAATTTTACTATGTATTGTGGGAGGAGTTAGAATCGCTATATTGGAACACCTTTCCCAAGCTGTATGTATACATATCTCTATAGAGTACCTTGTTTCTTATCATTGGACTTAATTTAGTCTAGCGAATGTCAGGTCATGATTCAACTATATTTATTAATTTTGCATCTTTATATTTTCTTGTTTCTATTTCTAATTAAAACATCTGCTGCAGAGGTGATTAAGAAGATAGGAAGCTACTGGTTTATAATGATATAACATCGATAGAAAATATTAATTTACAAGTTGCAGCCCTTCTCGTATACCACAGTCAGAGATAAGCCAAACGGGATTTCGATTCTATAGAAATGCAAAGCTTTAAGCTTCCAAAAAGGATTATATGGCATAGGTGCATTAGGATGAATGAAAGCACGGAAAATATATGCTTAGACATAAAAATTCCAGTTGCAAAATTTAAACTTTGACCCTATAATAGTTTGCTCTGCAGTTCTCTTGGGTAAATACTCTGTTTAAATGCATGAATCTTTCCCGTGTAAGTGACTTCTGCTGCAATTTGAATCATCAATCAAAGATTTTTGGCAATTGATATTACATAGTGTGTCTCAGTTAAAGTAATGTCTATATTGTAACAGGCTGAAAATAGTCAAAGCTTATTATAACACACCAAGTGAGTAAAGAACTAATTGGAGTCTTTGAATTTTGACATTGGTGACCCTGAAAGAACAGCTTTTCTTTGTATAACGATGCTGATTATGTGCACAGCCTGGCTTTTATAGTGACTGTGCATACGCTAGTTTGTATTAGGAATTTATAAAACAACCTTATAAATTCTTTGTGATCTGAGATACATCTAGTGAAAACAAATCAATATTGCTGACTGCAGCAGCAATTTTCGCTGTCTATAATTTAAGAGTCTTTAAGGTTCAGGCAGTGACTTTTTTCTTTTTTCTTTTTCTTTGTTTTCTTTTGAATTAAGTTCTTGATCAGGTGTGTCTTCCATATTTGCTTTTGTGGCCTGAAGATACTAATTTATTTCAATTTAAGAAGCTAAGGTTATCTCTAAGCAGCAGTACACTTTCCTCCCAAACCACTTAAAAGTGTTTGATTATTATATACATATGGTTTTAACATTGGACACAATTTTATTCTGTATAAAAAAAAGTTACGTCAGTTGATGCATAAGTCAAACTTTTTTGTTAAAAAGTTTGAATGGATAATAAGTTATATGACTATCTAATAAAATACATTTGGATTTAATTCTGTCTTCACAATTATGGCTATTAAAACTTGTAGCCTATAGGTTCACTTTTAACTCTTAGAGCATTTAAAATTAAAATGAGGGTGTCAATTTGAAATTAGGAATGAAACATTGGAAGCTTTAAGAAAGCATTAACCAGCATTTCTCCTTAGGTGTTTGATATCACTTCATCCTTAAGCTCTAACTCGTTGCAGCCCTGGTGATGGATCATGTTATGCCCTGGAAGACATCCCTTGAAGCTTTCTTTTATGCTTGTCACTTTACGTCTTTCTATAGAAACTTGCTAAATAGCCGGTTTCTGGTTGGCTGTTCCATTCAAACCAGAGAAACTCTCTGGTCTGACTTTCTCAGGTACTCGCACAGATCCCCAGAAACCTTAAGCAGCCTCCTGGCATCTGTACAACGGGAAGATCTTCTGTCTTCAAAGCTAGAATGTACACAGAATTAAAGCAAAATTATGTCCTCCCACTGTAAAAAATTGTATTAAGCTTTGATATAAATTCATTCAATGGAAGAAAGTCTTATTTTGAATTTAGAAAGCACTATTTGTATCCCTTCTTGCCAGTCAGAAAATAAGTCGAATGGTGAAAGCATAGCACAAAACGCAGTATTTTGACCATTAAGTCAATAGAAAAGAATATTTAAAAAAAATAATTGGGCATATCAAGTGCATAAAGACTGTTTAGAATTGTAAACACAGAATTAGAAATTCCATTAATATAGATTTACCTCGTGCCCAGGTTTGTAGTTTTTACGTTAGCCTCAAATAATGTAAACCTATGTTCTGTCCTCTTTTTTTACTTCTGTTATTTAATTCTAATTTTGTTTTCCTTACCTGCCCATAGTGACCCAGTAGGCCCACTGAGAAGCCAGCTGCTCAGTAGGTTTGGGCTGCCTTGGGATTTCCAAAGTAGATGGGATTTTCACTGTAAACTTTTGAAAGGTTTTCTTCTCTTCAGGCAACATATTAAGAATGTTTCCTGCTGCAACATTAATAAGTCAGAAAAGAAAACCAAAGTAGGACACTTCTGATCTAATTGATTTGTTTTGTCCTAGTGGCAGAAAAACTAACTCTGCATTACTGTCCTAGTACAGATGAATACCAAAGAAAGAAGCCTTTAATTTTGGCTCTCTTTAATAGACAAGCAGAGGAATAAATGTTAGCCAAGTACAATACTAAATCTTTATGGGATGAAGAAAAGCTTGTTCAGCTATAAACTATTGGGTAAAATGAACTGTAAAAGTGAATTGTCAATATTTATTTGTCAGAATCTTTAATTTTTTTTTTCTTTATAATGATATTTTGTAACAATCATCTGCCTGGCAGAGAAGGAAATTATTCTGTAAGGAACTAGGGAAGCCTTATGTCCTATTGATTTCTATCTTATGCTTTGTATTTCCACCTATTTTCTCACTCTACTTCCTATGGCATTCTCATCAGGCAAGAGGCAACGCGGCCAGTTCAGTGCTATGTACTCACTGGCCACCAAGTATTTGCGTGCTGATTGTTCGCTTTACTGTAACTCCCAAACAGAGCACCGTTTTGAGTCTTCCTTGTCTTCCCAGTACAAATTGTCACAATCCCTGGAGAAAATTTGCCGGTTGCTCCAGAGGAGGTCGGGAAGAGTCGGCTTAGGCACACAGGCGGACAGACAACACTGTTGCCTACAACTCGTACCCTTAGGAAGCCGTTGACTCCTGGGAGTCACAGTAGACGGCTAAAATTTATCCATGGTGTTGGGCTCTGTTTTAATTCACTGTTTTAGGCTGCCTGACCTATTTGCTGTAGCGTATTTGATTGTAATTATAATGCAGTGATTATAGTCTTCATTTATCACTTAAACTAGGTTTCTTCTACCTCCTTTGTTTTTATGCTGTCTGATCCTGTTCAGATATTAAGCTCTGTATGTGGGTGTGTATAGTATGTGTGAGTATGAGAAGAGATGCTTGCTTTAGTGGAATTAAATTTTGAAGATTAAAATTCAGCAGTATTATTTTTCCTTATCTTTTCGTAAAGACTTTCATTAATCCTACCATAATATCTCCAGAAGGTGACCGGGGGAGTATGCGCTTTGATTAATGTTTGTTTAATGCTGGATTATCTATAGTATTCATGTGTTTTATTCACATTAAAACTGTGCCTATCAGCTCATTTTCATGTTGAGTAATCAGATATAGTTGAATGAGGAAGGTGAGCATTAGTGGACTAAGTGACTTTTTAAGTATAGTGAAGGACAGAACAAATACAAGCCACAGTGCACGGAGTCTTTTCCAGTATTCTTCTGAGTTACAGTGGTCACACAGTGTAGTAAACATCTATTTTTCATTGGAAAGTGTTGATATTTCTTGCAAGTCTTCCTAATGCCTATACTTAGATTGTAGTCGCCTTGTGCCCCCTCTGAACAAAATACCAGGCGTCTTTGCCTTAAGAACGAGGGTAGATAAAACTAAGGAAAATGTTTAAGTCTGTGTTTCAAGAGAATTTGTGGAGAACTAATTAGTAATTATCAAATGCAGATCTTAAGACTGAAATGTATTTTATGCATTTCAAGTATTTTTTTTTCTCTTATACAACACAGAGAATATTGTAGCCAAAGACCAGAGATTATATGAGAATGCTGTTTGTAAGAAAAAATACAATAAGCATTTCAGACAACGTGCAAAGTACGTGTAAAGAAATGCCACATAAAGTACCATTGATTTGGCTTTGGGAAGAAGTGGGCTGTAATTCTGCGTTTTGTTTCGTAGGTACATCATCCCAGCTTTGCAGAGGACTGATGCTGGCTTCTATCAGTGCGTCGTACGGAACAGGATGGGGGCGTTGCTGCAAAGAAGATCTGAAGTCCAAGTGGCATGTATGTATGAATGGAAGTTATTCTGTGATTCATTAGCTAACCGATTTTTTCTGGGGGTAAAAAACCAACATACCAACAACATTTGCTGGTCTGAAAAATGATCAGATATCATATTTATTAAATTTTAAAATTATTGCATCACAAGAAGTTTCCCACACTCGTTATCTTCTGGGAAACAGTTCAAAGCAGTGCAGCATTACTCTTTAGAGCAATCCTTGAGCCGTTCAAAGCCACCGAACCAAGATCATTCGGAGATAGCTGTAGCATGAGAAAACTGTTATACCTTCCCTAAATACGCAGGGATTAAGAAAGGCCATATAGCACGAAACAAACTATCAGTCAAAACAAAACAAAACAAAACAAAAAAGCCCAGAGGACAGCAGAGGGTATCTGAAAGAAAACTATACGGTGGAGATAGCGCCATGAAGATTTCAGATCATAATTCTTTCTTAACTTTCGAGTTAACATATAGAAAATATAATCCAAGTAACTTGTTTGAAAATAATCAGAAAATTAGGCCTTATTCTTTTTTCAAAGTAAAATCATTAAAAAAAAAAAAGGACAGATTTGTATACTGCGTGTAAGCAATCCGATACATGGATCAAATTTCTCTTCCTGAGGGTCAATAACGGGAAACTCAGTAGTAGTAAATGTCACTTGATAAGTGGAATTTAGATAAATTGTATTATTTATTAGAAACCCAATTCCAAGGAACTGATTCAAGTTAATCACTATGTCATGAGGGAAGTTACATGGGATTTCCTATGTTTTTAAAATAAAACCAGTTGCAAATGATACTATGTAATTTTTGGTATCATTTTCACCACTTCACTGTATTACAGTAAATCATGTTACTACATCTGTACTGCCAGTAGCATCAGTCATTTGATGTTTGATCTCTCAGTGGTATTGTTCCAGAGATGCTGGGACCTGATGTAAAAATCCACCGCTGCTAAAAGGGTTTTTTCCTTCCCTGCCTTCTACCAGCACTTATGCCCCCGCCGTTTGCTCCTCCTGATGATCCTGTGCTCAGTCTGACGTGTCTCAGCCCCTTGCAAATACTGCTGTTCTGTTTCAGTGAACGACATCAGGTCACAGAAGATCTAGTGAAAGCCACAGGGAGGGTAACTGAGTGGGGCGGGGGACCTCCAACAAGCTCAGCAGGGGAAGATGGAGCAGGGGAGGGTGAGGGGGAGATGCTTCTTGCTCGGCAGCAGCGAGCCATTAGATGAGCCTAGATGCCTCTGGGGTGGGGTCTACGGGTGTGGTTTCAGGGGACAAAGGCTTTGGTAGCAGCACCAGAGACACATACCCATTTTTTCCTCCATCCCACTAATCGTTCCCCATCTTGTGCTGCAACGTAGGACACTATCGCTTTAGGCGCAGCAGGAAAACTTGTTTGTGCAGCTGTGGACTGGGAAACTTCTCCAACATTAAAAAAAAAAAAGCAACAATTATTTTGTAGGGTTTGCTAAAATAGTTCTTTCTGCCACGTCTGCTTCCCTGTGCAGCTGTGCAGGCAGTTGTAGTTACAGTGGAGGGAGCAATTCTTGAGGAGGGACTTGTGGGAACGATGGTGAGGAATACTTTACCTTGATGCTGCTGCTGCAAAAGAATTTTGTCTCCTGAAAAGACAGTTTTATTCCCCTCTGAATGAGGGAAAGATTTGCAGTGAAGTGTTTTGTGTCTCCAGGCTTTTTTGTGTGTGCGTTCGGTTGTTCTTGAGAGAGAAAGCAGTGTAATTGTTTCATTTTCTTTGGTTTTAATTTTTTTTTCCCCATTTAATTTGTAGTTCTGCATTTCTGAATAAGGGTAAAAAGCTCTCTCTTAAGACTTCTCTGTCTGAATTAAGCAGTCTATTTATTTATTTATTTTCACTGATAAAGGTATTGAGACAAAGCAAAGCAGTTCTTGTATGACTTGGGAGACCTTTGGTCTCGAACCTATAGTGACCTATATGGCTTCTATAGTGAAAACTCCCAGTCAAGCTTGCACTTTATTCCCACAGATTAAAGTGTTCTACAAGTTTTAAATATCTTCTTTCTCCTCTACCCAGGGTAGGTACTGATACCCTCTGATTGTTTTCTGTATTTTAACGTTTTTGATCTGAATTAATTGATTTAAGCTGTGTGGACATAACGAAGTGTCTGATATTTTACCATATTTTACTTTTTGATTATTCTTAAAAATGTATCGGAAAGCAGCATTCCAAGGAGTTACTAAAGTCACCTTATCCAGACATCAAGAGTTGCAGGGAACTGTATGTTGGATGTTTAACTCGGAAGGATTCATGGTAAATGAACTGGTTTTGCCGCTGGATAGAGGATGCTTCCCAATGCACTTGAACTCAGGATCTCTAGTGAGAAACTGAAAGGCACAGTTCTAATGTGCATTGAGAAAGATCAGAGGTATTTTCCATGTCTGAGATCTCTGAAGTAGCAGGGAACTGGTTAAAGAATTAAAAAATGTTCTCAACACGTGCTAACATATTATTTAACTTAATGGGAACAGATATTTGTGAGAAAACTGCTGAGTAAATCTTAATTACAGAATGGGCTTAAAAACTCTTGGATTGTGAAGGCTAGAATAATCATATGACAGCGAAGTTAATTAGATCCACCTACGCAGTTTGAAACTTCTTTCAAGTAGATGATCTGATTACAGTTGTAAGAAATATGGAGCAACAGAGGAAGTACAATGCTGATTATGTCTGAATAAATAACTTGAAAATCACAAAGATGATTAAAGCTTCTTTAAAATACCATGTGTTTTTAATTTCTGCTCTTGTTCTGTCTCTTCTCATCTCCTGCCATCCACAGACCTGATAGTAGTCTTCTGTGTTTCAATGTCCTTTGCATCCCTCTCTGCAGCAAAGAACTTGTAAAGAACCCTGTGGTCCTTAAAACAAAAAAAAAAGGAGGGGGGGGAATTCAGTGGCAGAAGCCAGAATAGTTCTCTGTGTGTCAGTTTCTTGGTTTAAGGCAAATTAAAAAGCATAGAAGTTCTTTGTAGAGTGAATAAGTGGGAGCCTATAGCCTTGTTTATTTTAACGGTAGGAATGTGATACAAAAGGCAAAAGAAAAACAAGAAGAAAACGTTCACTGAAATTTTTACAAGGATTCCATAGATATGTAAACTCGTCTATGAAATAAAACCTTCAGAGCCAGAGGTTCTGCTACTGTAGTTTTCTTTATTCCATTAAAATTTTTGTTAAAAGCTGCTCTTTAATTCTACTGATGCTTTTGTAAATGCCAGAGATCCAGATGCACTGCTGAAACGGTAGTGTGGTGCCAGGAGAGCTAACAGCTACCAGCAGGACTCCAGCCTTGTTATTCTGAGAGCCATTTGGCTTCCTTGCGTAGACCTGACTATGCGTCGGTTTGACTACAAGTGATACAGCTGCTTGTCTATTTGTGTAGCTATGGATAAAAGGATTAAAAAAATTGGACACCAAAAAATTGATAAAATTATATACCCCGTGTGCATTCCTTTGCATTGCATGGGAATTTCTTTTCTATTGTGCAAGGATTTATTTAAAAAAAACAACAGCCAAAACACTAAACCTCAATTAAAATATCACTTTCCATGAAAAACAGCCTCAGTTATTGCAAAACAACACTGAGGCCGTGCAGTACTGCTGGCTGATGCACTTCTTGTGTGCACCAGCAGCGCTTGGCTTTGCCTTATGCCTTACTGCTCATATAAATCTGTATTAATCAGCACTGTCTCATGATCTGTAGTGTCATGTTGACCAATTATAGCAATGCCAATGACTATTGTAAAACACAGTTATTTCTCTGTCCACTGAAAAGAGATGGGAAGAGAGACAAGAACTTCCAGGACTCTTAGTGTAATTTTTTCTTTGCAGACATGGGAAATTTCATGGACACAAACCAGAGAAAAACAGTGACTCAAGGACAAGCTGCAGTTCTAAACTTCCTCCACATACTCAGCTATCCAAGACCACAAGTGACGTGGTTTAGAGACGGGCACAAGATTATACCAAGCAGCAGAATGTAAGTCACTTCAAAGCTCAGAATACCCCCACCCTAAAGGATGATTAATTACATTTGATAACGCAACTTACATTTTAAGTACACTAATTAAGGTTTAAAGAGAATAAAGTAGCCTTGTTCATACTAAGTTTGAGATAAATGACTATTTTAAGAACATCTCTGAACTTCCTAAGCAGTTTGACAAAATAATTCATGTGATTTTAATGGTTCTGGTGCAGCATGAGGGAGTAGATACACAGAATGTCTGCACTTCCTTCACTCTATTCATTTTCATGATGCATTTTAGAAAAGTAAATGCTCATCTCTCAATTATGTTTACTTGAGTGGACCAACTTAATGAATACTGAGATTCTTCTTTTTTAATATCTGAATCTGATTTTTGATTACATGGAGTTATGCTTAATACTATTTTTAATACTATTAATACTACAAAATTCTAAATATTGCTTATTTTTTCCTTATCTTTTTAACCTACAATGACAGTTTTATTTCTTTTTGGCTAATTACCTGCTCACACACTAATGGCACAGTACTTGCACTTTGGTTAGTTATTATCCTGAGGTGTGCTCGTTTATCCTTTCCTGAAACAGTTATGAAGCCATCCTGTGTTTTTACCTGCACGGTTGTATTTAGAGACTGAAGGGGTTAGCTGTAACATTAAAAAATGGTGATAAAACTTCTTTTACTTGCCTAATTCATTATGAAACTGTTAAAATGCCAAGAATGTTGGTGGTTATTTTTATCTGTGTATTATATTTTCATGTGTTCAAAGGGATAGATGTGCTAGCAACTGACGGTAATGGGATATTATTAAGTTCCGGAAGGGGTGGTGAGTCTTCAAAAAGGAAAGGAAAACTCTTCTTGGATTTTAATTTCATTAATCTGTGCTGTATGTTTTACTGCTGCTTATGTGCATTTTTTAAACCTGAAAGCTAGTATTACAGGCTCTTTGAAACTGTTGAAATTAGTATTGCAGGGATGTGAAGCAACTATGTAATAATTTATGAATAATTTAATAGTAATTTGATGGGAAACAAGCTGGAAGATGAAACAATGGGTTTCTGGGCAATCTCTTGAAGAGAGCTAAGTGACAAATCCTGAGTTATTAACCATTAAGAATCTACTTCCTCCACTCCTGCCACATTACAAATTTTCTTTTGTCAATGCTGAGAATACACAAATCAAAAATATGCAGATGGTGAAAAAGCCTTGTTATGGGGGTATCGGGCAGTGTCTCGGGAACTGTTACTGGGGAACAGAACAGAGTGACCCAGGCAAGCATGCCGTGTCTGAAAATGAGATTTGTGTGAATTCTCTTACAGTTTGGAAAAATTGCAAGTGTATTCGTTAACATCAAATCCTAATTTTCATATGCTATGCTTTAGTCTTACTCCCACCCTGTTGGGATTGTTTGGGTAAAATCACTTGTAATTCACAGCCCTGTGGTAATGCTTACAGACGGGAAACCCGTAGAACTCTGCTCTCTAATAGGGGTCAAATATACCTAAAGGTTTCAACATATATTTTATTTCCCTGATCAGAAATTTTGTCTGAAAGGAATCTGGGGATCATTGTCTGGCCTGTGTAGGCGTTTCTGAAAACTCTTGCAGCAGAAGTATACATTCTGAAAGTGTGCACCTCCTTGGAAGTTTGATATGTATTGAACAGTAAGCCTGATAAGTTCAGGAAGTGACAGATTTATGGTACGCATACCAATCCTCAGCGCACTCTATGTGCAGAAGATCTGCTTCTCCCTCCAAAAAAGTATTGGAAAAACCGTATAGCATCCACTCACGTCATGCTGGCTGGGAAATTCTGGAAGCAAATATGGCAGCCCTAAAAATATAGGAAACCTGAGAGAAGGAGAGGATGCATATAAAACTGTAAAAGTATCTTATGGGAACTCTTTTTCTTATCTGTGGAGCAATTTGTGCATTTAACATCATGTTTTCTGTACACAAAGAGGTGCATCAATTTAACGGATCAGTTTAGCAGGTGGTGCAGTTAGACTGATGCATCAATCTGACCAGATCACCTGCTAAACTGATCAGGTGAATTGATTCAACCACCTTGTGTGGATGCTCTTGAAACTGATTAAAAGGACCTTATATTGCTAAATCAATATAAAGCTTTTTTAATCCTCTTAAACAAGCTTACAATGATTTGGCCACATCAATCAACTAGTCTGTCAGCTGTAATAATGATCTCTAAGTGTGACATCGCTGCAGCGTATGCAGACTGAGGAAATAAGCAGTGCTAAAAATGAGGACGGTAGCGGTACCCAATAATTTCTCACCAGTGCCTGTTGAATACAGACAAAGTTGGGATTGCCCAATATTTTATCTGTAGCTATTTTTAAGAAAAAAGTTCTTTTAAATAGTTGGTCAAGTTAACTCTGGCTCACGCAAAAGCCTTAATGTACACGTACTTAACACTGCACCATTTTTATGCCATAATAATGATCCTGGTGCTTATTTACACAGGGCTACTGTCACCGCGAGAATGAATTCATTTCACTGATGTGGAAACAGAGAGTGTGCTGAGTTGTCTTTATGTGAGAGACATGAAAGATCAAAAGGAAGGAGTAGTTCTGAGAAAACTAATTCTTAAGATGTTTCAAGGAATGTCATTTAATTGGCTCTGCAATAGGATTTACCTAGCAAGTTTACAGTAGTAAATGCTGATGTCTTTCTCTTTTGGTGTTTACTGGTATTTAGGACATTTGTGGGGAGGGCTTCTGCCAGCTCTTCAGCATCCCAACGGTAGTGTATTTCTAGGGAGCCAAGATAACAGAATTGCTGAATTGTCAAAAAATTCTGGTATCACTATATGTATTATTTTAAAGATACTTTGTAATATGTCAGATAAGACTCTTGTTTGTTCATTGTGTTTTCTAATGATTATTTGTACACATTAACACAGTTGCCAGTTGTAACAGATCATAGAATCATAGAATAGTTTGGGTTGGAAGGGACATTTAAAGGCCACCTAGACCAACCCCCTGCCATGAGCAGGGACCTCTTCCAGTAGATCCGGTTGCTCAGAGCCCCGTCCCACCTGACCTGGAATGTTTCCAGGGATGGGGCATCTACCACCTCTCTGGGCAACCTGGGCCAGGGTTTCACCACCCTCATCGTAAAAAATGTCCTCCTTATGTCCAGTCTAAATCTCCCCTCTTTCAGTTTAAAACCATTCTCCATCGTCCCATCGCTCCCCTCCCTGATCCAGAGTCCCCCCCCAGCTTTCCTGGAGCCCTTTTAGGCACTGGAAGGGGCTCTGAGGTCTCCCCGGAGCCTTCTCTTCTCCAGGCTGAACCCCCCCAACTCTCTCAACCTGTGTTGATAGGAGAAGTGCTTCAGCCCTCAGAGCATCTTTGTGGCCTCCTCCGGACCCGCTCCAGCAGGTCCATGTCCTTCTTCTGTTGGTGACCCCCGAGCTGGAGGCAGCACTGCAGGGGGGTCTCACCAGAATGGATATTCCTGAATTCCGATAAGCAGGTGTAACGAACCTGTAATTTCCTGTTTCTCTTACTGATCATTAGGCTGAAAAAGATCAGTTTTTTAGGTTGGGGGAAAAAAAAAAGGAAAAAAAGATTCAGTGCATATCTTAGGTGTCACCTTTTTTTAGTCAGAATGGTAATCCTACATGCGAGTGTGCATGGCTGTGATATATTTTCTGGGAGAAAGTTTCTTTTGAGACATGGTCATTTTTTTTCAAACTGCATATTCTGTTTAATTTAACTGGTAGTGTAACTCATGGTGGAATTTTGCAGCAAATAACTATGTATTAATTCCCATTTTAGTGGTGTTGGTGCCATAATATTTTGTTAAAGCCCCTGGATAAAAACAAGAATAGCATGACAAGTTCCTCCTAAATGAGTGGGCATGTAAAGTCAACAAATCCCTGTATAATATATGAATGTGCAGCAAATGGCCTGCTCATGGGGTTGTTGTTATAGTTTATGACTTAAGGCAACTAACAAATCTGCAGTAGAGCTAGTGCAACATCATGATGGTGTGTATTTAAAATTTTAAGTCTTAAAATTTTCTCCCCCCTGCTTAGTACAGTGCGCATTTATATTCCTTTTGGATTTTGTGCATTGTCTGTCACCAAAGCCTCAGCGTGGTATTTTAAAGGCGTGTTTCTAGATGATCAGAAGGAAGCAGTGTACGTGCTAGAAAAGTATCAGGTGGAGAATCAGAGAGAAGACAAAAAAGATCAACAGCAAAAGAAAATGAGTAAGGAGAGGAATTAGGATTTAGGATGTTTTTTATTATTATCTTGCATGAAAATTTCCCCAGTTTTAGAAAAGACTTCACGTTACGCCTAGACAGATTGATGTTTCCAAATAGACCAGTAGACTAATGTGGAATTCCAACTGCACTGTTATCCAGGTCTTGACTGATGGGATGATTTCGCCTGTTTCTCCTCACATCTTACAGAAAACAATAGCCTCTCTAAAGGTAACTGCATCAAAAGAAATTGCTACTCTGAGTTGTCAGGGCTCCAGCTTGCCTGGCCCGGGTGTACTTCATCAGGCCTAAAAGCAGAGCGCGTTTAACTGCCTTTACACGAGGCAGGTACAGTAGCTCGGAGAGGCACAAAGGACAGTGGCACTGTCAAGGTCTACAACTGCCTTTCAGTTGTGGTATTGAGGAATTAAATTTAGTACTCTTAGAGGATTTTTTTTACCTTTTTCTAAGTGAAGGACTTTTTCACTGAAAAGGTTCACTCTAACCATCAGTTCATTTATTGTTGGTTTCTTCTTTAAGAAGAAAACTTCTGCTATGAAGACTATTACTGTTTTCATTAACTTTCTTACAGTGAAACTATTGTTTCCCCTAGTAAGCTGCAGTTAGATGAATATTAACTCATGTCTTTTGTTAGTGGAATTATGTCTTACACAAAACAGGAAACTTCATTTTTGGCATATGAAGGCACTTCTGGGTGTCCCTGTCAGCTGGGTGGGCATTTTGTCACTTATTTAACTGTTAATGAACCAAAACGCTTTACAAATGCACTTCATCCCACTAGACAGGGAAGATGAATTGCATTGCCTTTAGGTATACATGAGATTAATATCTATTTTTTGCAGTAAGAACAATTCATTACGCATTTGAATGTGCGTGGTCATTACTAACTCTTATAGAGACTAAATGTGCTCACAGATCATGGAATGAAAATATGTCAGGCACAAGCAACTGTTAAATATGACTTGCTGTGGTTTTGAATGCTCATAATACTTTGCAAATAAGCAAAACTGGTGCAGATTTACTAGCCATTTGTTAAGGTAAGATTTTAAATATATTAATGGCAGTCTCAACAAAAAGTAGCTGTAGCTAAATAGGCTTTAAAAGATGAGAAAAATTAAAACATCTAGGAATAATACATCAGATTTGGGGCTGATATTAGCATTAGATTAGGTTTGTGCCTTGATGATAGCAGCTCACTTAATGTGCCATGTATACATTTTTCACTTTAAAACAAACACCACTTCATTTTATATGAGCAGTCCCAGTGACAGCAATGCATTTCCCTTTTCCCTACAAATACTGGCCTGTCAGACAACTTACGTTAGTTGCACATAATTACTTTTCACATACACCGGCTAATACTTTAATTACAATTGTGATGATTAGCATTAGTGAACAATAAATTCAGACTGTCAACTCTGCAGTGTATTAGCTGAACAATACTTTAAACAAAAAAAAGTTTGCAGCTCTCTTAAGTCTGCTGACTTTATAAAGTGGAGTGACGCCTCTCAGCAGGAAGAGATGTGACAAAAACCCTGTAAGCTGTTTTTATCTGTATAAAAAAAATCTGTATATGCTTTTTACAGGCTCCACATTAATTTTAAAGTCAGTACCTGAAAAAGAAGAATATTTTATAGAATTAAATTATTTCCTTAAACTGAAATTCGTTAGTACCCTATTATTCATTTATTTAACCAAACTTCTCCATTGAGTAATTTCAATTTGAAGGAACAGACAGCGCTAGGAATCATCTTACATGAAGTTTTACTGTCACCCCCAAGGCCCATATGCATATGAAAGACTGTAGGGAAATCTCCCATCATCTCTTCAAGTACTCAGTTTGAGTAGTCCTGGATGCTGTCAGTGGACTGTTTTGAGTATTATTGTCTACTGTGTTCAGCAGAGGAAAACGTTAACACCTCCGGGTAAGCAAATCCCAGGATTATTTTCTAAAGCTGTTTGACTTGTGTAGATTCAGCCTCGCTGTTTTTCTCTCTGCTCATCATTTGTTTGCCACAGGTTTTAAACATATGTTTCAAAAATTAATTTATTCAGACCTTCTTAACTTTTCCGGTGCAATCTCGTGTGTTGGTTAGATGAAGGGAGGAGAAGACTGAGTCATATTTGGGGTCCCTGTATGTGCTGAATGCAGAGTGTGTAGGAGCACCACAGCCCATCACAGGGTGGAAGAGGGACAGGAGAAAAGAATTGCTGCCAAAGCCCATGCCTTTTAGCCAGGCTCATTTGGAAGTGGATTCCTCCCAAGGGAGACGCTCCGACGGATGAGATGCGAGGCACATTTGGGGATTTGACCAATATGTTTCATTACAAATTTGGACCACAAACCACAGAGGGTTTTTTAATATCTATTTTTTTTTATAAGCAAGGGGAAGTTGCTGCCATTATGCTAGCACTGCAAAATCCATATTTTTTGATAGAAAAAGAGTGGATGCTTGGAACTAATACTGTGTTCTAATGGGCCTCAGCCGCTCACAGTATCTTTCAGCACAATCTTCAACAGCTGTAAATTTCAATAAGACTTTAAAGATCACTGTCTAAGAGGAAAATCTGACTGTTGGATATTGTTTTTCCTAAGGTGGTCATATTTAAAGAACAAAATCATTTTATGTGCCACTACATTTATTAATCATGGATTTGGAATTTGTAAAACAAAGGGAATGGAAGTGTCCCTAGAAGGAAACCTTTTTGCTCTAAGTAAGATTTAGTTATCACAGCTTGCAGTAGATACTGATTTATGAGTTTGTTGCTTTCTGAGGACAAATGTACTTTGAGAGAGAAAATATGGACTACAAAAAAGTGTTAATAGCGTTACTTTTTGAAAGTGAACTTACACTATTTTTTAGAAATTGTATCCAATTTAGAGGTGGGTAAATATGAAGACTCCTTTTCGTTGTACCTTGGGGCTCACTTCTTGCATCTGCTGCATTTCCTAATCAGAGCTAATTATGATATTAGGGACAAATCATGAATATAATCCTTTAACAACTAATGTGCTTTTGTGGAAAAACCTTGTTCAGTCCATCTTTGAACTACCGTATCTACAAATAGAAATATTTTAATATGCAGCCAAGATAAGACTATTTAAAAGTGTTGCGGTCATTCTTAAAGAGCAAATATGCAAAAGAGAACTATTGCTTTATGCTTAAAAAGTGGCAATTGTTCACTAATCCCTGGGAACAATTTATCTGCTACGACCCCTTGCATATCTCTATTTTTATGGAAATAGATACAAAATGCCTGTGACTTATCAAATATAGCAGAAGGTAATGTCTTATGTTTACCAATTAAGTTTTATTAATCAAACCCGACTGAAGTAAAATGTATCTGTCAGTACTTCTGGCTGTATACTACAAAGGATTACTAATTTTCTTTCTATGCTGAAATGGACAAATGCTGTCTTTTGTCATGATTCTAGTGGATTTTTAGATGATGTGCAAAGGTGTTGTCGTGGTTTTGGCCAAACCGGCCACTGGGCGACTGACAGATACTCCCCCCACACCTTTTCAAAGAGAGAGGTAGAAGGGAGAGAGAGAGATTTATGCATTTAGAAGGAACTAAACTACTTTAATGAAATATTAATAATAAAATAAAAAAGAAATAATGAAATATATAGAAAACTGTATCAAGCTCCCAGGATGACAATCACATCACTGGTGGCACTCGGGAAGTCCCAGACTGGAGTCAGTGGCAGATGGGAACTGGATTCCAGGTCTGGATTCCAGATCGGGATCAAAGGCAGAGGAACAGACAGAGTCCTCCTGGGACGTCGGCCACTGAAGAAAGAGGCTGCCCCTTCGATCCCTCAGCTCTTACACTGAGCGTGAGGCAGATGGATGGAATACCCCGTTGGTCAGGTTTGGGTCACTTGTCCTGTCCGCCCCTCCCCGCAGGTGGGACCCCTCTACGCTTTTCCGCTGCCGACCCTCCAACGGGGCAAATAACGAAGCTCGCTGGCCGTGGGTGTCAGAGCAATAAGTATGAGCCACAGCCTCTCCGCATCCCGTGCCTGGGCTTAAATTACAACTAATCGGGTCTTACCACTCTGAGAGCGAACAGTGTCTGCACAATATGCTGTTCCTTTCAGTAGTTAGAAGAGGCCCAGCTAAAAAGTAAAGTTACTGAACAAAATTGGTCCTGTTTTACCTCAAACCGGGATAGGTGTTAAGACATAGATGTTTGTAATTTTATAAGACAGATTTATGTGGAATAATTTTCAAGGCCTATCACTTTGTCAGATTTAGTTTCATATTGAAAACTGTTGTGTGATTCGGGAAGAAAAAAACCCAGAGAACTTTGCACTCTGGGGATGTCTTGTGGCTTCTGTGGTTGATTTGCATCAAGTCTACTTTGTTAACAGTATTCAACTTGAATTTAAAGAATTTGGTACATGGAAGCAAATGCGAAGCAGACCGTACGTTAATTAATGCTGCAGAGAAAGGAAGAAGCTGGCAGCCTGCCTATGGCTTATCTCTGATCCTTAGTTGTGAGTGGAATCTTTAGCTGGCTTGTGTTTGGCCTTCATCTAACAGATTCCAAATGAATTTAAATAAATTTTAAATGCTCTGTCTGAGGTTTCATGGGTCTATCTGGTCTGTACGAGAGGGGTGATTTTTGGCTCTGGTGAAACTCTGTAAAGACATCTTGCAATTAGAAGTGAGAAAAAACAGTCAAACTCTGCCAATATTCATATGAAATCTATTTGTCTGCTGCATGTTAGCACTACCTTTTATTTCTTAATATATGCCTGTGGCTATTTTTATATAATACACAAATCTGTTGTTTTACGTGTCAGGACCAATTCTAGACATAGACAAACAAGGCATCTGTTTATTGGGGTGACCACAGTCATCACTGACTTGCTCAGATTTATTCTCTTTGCTTTTCCCTCTTAACTCCTGTCACTAGAGTGGGGAAAGCATAGAATAGATCAGCCTACTTTTCATCGTAGCAGTGGCACGAGGAAG